CATGCCTCCCGAATGCGTTCTTTTTAAGCCGCTTCATATACGTATAGCCTTAAGATTATTGTGCTTTCACGACGGCAAAATTTTATTTCAAAATTTTGAAGGAGGGATAACAGGCTTTGAGGCCCCAAATCCAAAAGCTCACTAAAGATGTCCCCAGTTCACCTCGCTCACCGTGAAGAAGATGAGGACCACGGCACCACTTCCATCTGACACTGCAACCCGGAATGTATCTTGGGGAAGGGGATTTACAACGGCGTACACATGTGCAGTTCCCGAACCGGCGTCCACGATCTGCACGGATTCTGGTCCCGCGAACATCCAATTCGCGAACTCAGATGAATCCTTGTCATCCCTGGCCTTCAGTGAAGAACATCGGTAGGCAAAACTCGGATCAGCTTAGAGGAGAGAATGCTGCTGCCTCGTAGCAAATTTCAGGAGCGTCATCAATTTCAAAAAGGACATTCGCCTGAATCTGAATGGTAGTAACTCATGACATTTCCATATTATAACTGAGCATCCAATCAATGTTGCCAGAGGGGCATTTATGGACTTGCATCCTTGCCAAATTCCTGAGTTCGAATATCGCGAAGCATATGAGAAGTCCAAATGGGAAGTTCCGGGGTACAAAAATCAAAATGCAAGAAAACGAAAATACTCTACATCGACAGCCAAGAATTCCACGTGGCCTGCTCAAGTTGAGCCTGTTTGACATACGTGAATGACCGCGATGGGTGTTCTTTCGGGGCCCCAAGGCACGTCCGGCAGGGGTAGGCCAGTGTACACTTCGTTGGGAGAAACTTCAGGAGGGTTGTCGTTAGTGTCCAGGATCCGAACGACGACCACCGCCTCGCCCGGCTGGACGCTGCTGAACGGGTCCACTGCCTGTGCTGCCCTCTCCACTCCGCAACCTCCAACTGGTTCGAACATGAACGTTGAACGGTGGTTAATTCGATGATTGGCTGTTGCTGCGCTCGACCTCGTTCATTTTACTAATGTGGTTCGCGGTTTCACCACTAGACAAACGTGGTGCACCGTATCGATTAAGTTCAAAGGAAAGCCAAGTATGTAAATGGGTATTCGGTGCACCACCAGAGTCACTTTCCTGGAGCGACCAATTGCTATTATTCAACTTTCCGCTTCCATCTCAACGTCTTTGACACAAATCCTTTGAAAATATACCTTTTATTTGTCGATTCATGCATCCTTGTGGGTGAGGATCGTTGCGATTGCGATGCATTAGGGTTAATAGCGTCGAGTGTGCGAATATTTATGCTGTAATGTAGGCAAGCGCTTATATATGCGAGGGAGAACGCGAGAGCGGGTGTGCCTGGTTGTGCTGGGCGCATCTCGTACCTGTTGAATTCTTCAGTTCCGCTTTCACCTTGATCTTGAGGGTATTGTTCCCATTACGCTCCCATCGCTGCTGCAGCATGGTAACCGTACCGTTCGGGTGGACAGTCAACGTGCCTGGACAATTATCAGAAATTGTTTGACAAATCGGTCTCTTAAAAAAAAGAATTTAAATGTTACTTCCCAAAATATATGCCAGAAAGGGAGGGAAATAAATGTTCGCCTGCTCCATGAGGAATTTAAAACTGAAAATAATCACGTGCGTTTGTTTATTAGTTAGCTTGATTTTGAGCTAGAAAGAGAAGTGGAGAGAAGAAAATGAAAAAATGAAGAGAATCATGACTCCAGAGACCCATCATGAATCGTAAGGAGTGAAGGCGCTTAGATTTGTTTAATTAGCAAAAGGAGCATTTATCACAATTCACAGCAAAGGCTTTTTTTTGTATATGGATGCATGGTAACCCCAATTCTTCTAATACTATGCAGCAGAGCGACTGTCATAAGAGCAGTTTAAAAATCTTGAATCGAGCCGTCGTTTAGATTCGTGGACTCGTTTTGTCTGTGCCCGCCTATGAACCAAGAACTTGACAATTGCACGTTTGATTTCTGCTTCGTAATAAGGAATGTCGATGACTCGTTATAAAGTAAAAGTAGTTCCCAGGAAAAGCGTTGGAAGAACTATCGTGAAGGCATGAGAAGAGAGAGCCCAGACCTTCTGCGTGAGTTGAGTCGATGATTTCGAAGTTCACCTGGTCCGCTTCGAAACCCACTGGCTTCAGCAGCTGGTCCCAAAAACCCCCTACGTTCTCATACTCTTCCAGCTCAAAGATGAAGGAGGAGAAGGAGACGCAGCCGTCGTCCAAGACAATCACTTTAGCCTACAGAACGTGAGCGAAGCACTTCATTGCATTCGTAAGGGTAATATTCGAATTATAAATAAGTCCTCCTAAGCATCTCGAGGTGAGTTTGGTGACCCGTGAGCTTTGGACGGGAAGGCCAATTAAGTGAACATGAATGATAGAATCCTTGTATGAAGAGCTTCCACAGCATCATCTCCTTCGCAACCAACACTTCTCAAGAGACTACTGACTACTCATCAGCCCATCTGAGACGTACCTGAGCAATGTCAACGTCATCGGCACTCTCGGCGCGAAGCGTGATGGCGTATTGCCTCCCGGCAGCCAGACCAACCTTCGCTATCAGATTCCCCGGCAAGACAAACTCAAAGGAATCCTTGTCAGCTCCTGCTGGATGGGAAGGCGAACAAGATCTCAAAACAAATTTGGGATCGAAGTCGTACCAAGAGAAAGAGATTGATTCGTCAGGTGATAATTATAGTTTCATCTCCGCTTTTCACTAAATTAAACATGATTTTCCCAATAGAAAGCACTTATTACTTGCTCCCAAGAGCATAGTCTTTAGAGTGTTATGTGGCCAACTTTGCATAATTACATCGAAATCACTTTGTTCTTAGTGCCGAGGAACTGGAATTCTAATTCCGACACCGTTCTGCGCGCAGCGACTGTTCGGAACCATTCATTGACCGATAATGCCGGTCAGGAATGCTCACTCATGCAACGGGCAAGTCCAAGAGCATAAATTCCCTCGATAACATGTCTGATCACACTGGGATCCATCACGCGAGGTCAGAGGTCAGAAGTCAGGAATCTCTTAGAAAGCGTGGCGCACGTCAGGGCTTCCTCCGGACGAAAGCCTTAAGCCTCCTTAACCTACAAACTGCATAAAACCACTCCCGGTCCCGTCACGTGGCACTGAACTGCTTGGCCGATGCGAGATATAAGGCCATATGATGGATGGGCTCTTACCGCCGCAAAAAAACGGCGAGGTTTAACTCATTGCTGCATGATACAGGTGCTTTTGCCCACTCTAAAAGTTAGGTCTGCTCTTACTATGAGGAAATGGTAGATATTCCGACTGGTTTGTCTTTATATGTCATTTCAATATTATTCGAGGGGCTTGTCGTTTTTTCCCTCTTCATCTTCGTAAAGTTGTGAAAGCAATCGATATTTTCCTTGTGATTTTTTTCTCCTGTTGCAAATTTTATTTTCTAATGAAATCAATTTGGAAATATCTCACAGTTTTGATATTTTCACTTTTTTTAATACCATCTTAATAACCATTTAGTGTTCGAAAAAAATACATCTATTTTGACACTAAATACCAAATTCGATCGCAAACGCATACTTATAAATGCATCATTTTTGAAATTATCTCTATTCTTTTGTGTTCCAAAAATGTTCATGTTCGCAGAAAATTGAACCGTTCAGGAAAAAAAAACCGCTCAACAAAGTCCATATTTGGGTAAATTAGGAGAGGTAAGCTGCCGGAATCCGAAGTCCCAGCCTCGTCACTGGCTCGAATATTCACGGAAACAAACCCGAGATTCAATTTCACTGCCAAGGGCCAAATGTCTGAAGCAAATGCGAATTGCTAATGCAATCCAACTCGAGTAACTCGTTTCCCTAGTGGAAGCCGCCCAATCGAATGATTTATCAATGGGTTCCTGGCTCATGACTCCTGGCTCATGATTCCTGACTAATTTTTTGTTTTCGGCCATCACTTTTATCTGGTTTTGCTACGGAGAGTGACTTACGGTTTTCGTTCGAATCTTTCCGAACGAGAAGGTTCTTGGAGATGGAACTTTTTAGCATTTTCCTTTTTGGTTTAGTAATCAGATTCACTGTGGTACAAGTCCTCTCATGCGTAAATTCCAATGAGTTTAGTATTAATAATTTCGTGAAATACGGAAGTTTTCCACAAAAGTATACTTCTCGGAGCTAGAGCAAAATGAAAAAAAAAAGAAAAACGACTCGGAGCTTCTCTCGTTAATGGAAATGATCTTTCATTGCTTAAAGATTTTCTCACATCAGATAAATTCTGGAAGAACCGAAATTTGTAATTAATACCACATTGACTTCAGAACTGAATAAAGAAAATGATTTTTTTTTGTATAACTCGCCGTCGATGGAGACTTCGTAATCGCACTCGGGACTGCAGGTGATGTTGAGTTCTGCAATGGTTTTGCCGCTCAATAGTGGTTTCACCGTGAAGGAGTAGGTTTCAAACTGGAATTCCACATCCTTTTCAGGGAGTTCCTCTACGAAAAAACATCAATGACGATATAGGGTCAGCAAATGAATTCATTGTATCTGTTCTTTAAAACTGCACCAATTAGATATAAGATGTGAAAAATATTTTCATCATGGTTTAATTTTGCTCTTCCGGGAATTATTCGTTCACTTTATCTCGTTTCAATTTCGTTTCTCATTTCGCTCGTTTATCTTTCATCCAGGCCTTCCGATAACGATGACCTTGACACTCGACAATGAGTGGAGCTCACCTTTCGGCAGGTACACGGTCAAGGCCGCCGTACCTGTTCTCACCCCCGCCCCGGCCTGAAATGACGCAAAAAAACGCGATGACGCCCTCTCGGCACGCGGACCGACGCGAAGGGAAGTCGGCAGCTCACCTTGACGAGGAAGAAGACGTCGCTCGTGATGGATTCGTTGAGGGGCGCGGTCAGACTCAGCGCGCCGCTGTTGAAGTCGATGGTGAAAAAGCTCAAGGCGATCTCATCTGAAAGAAACGCGAAATGTTCGCACAAAAAATCTCTCCGCTAAGTTAAACTAGGTTCAAATTCCACTTCCTCCATATCTCCAGAGCGTGACTTAACAAGACGTTCTCTATCTTCGTTCCTCTTCCCCAAAATGGGACCGTGGGTTCAATGCTGATTGAGTGCGTTGCTGGGAGAAGGAGAGGAAAACCTGTTCGGATATATCTCCTCTCGGGATCCCCCTATCGTGCCAGCTCCTTATCGTGCCAGCTCCATATCGTGCCAGTCTCCTATCGTGCCAGCCTCCTATCGTGCCAGCCTCCTATCGTGCCAGCCTCCTATCGTGCCAGCCTCCTATCGTGCCAGCCTCCTATCGTGCCAGCCATACAATGTATTGGGCCGTATTTCTTGGTGACCTGTCTGCATGAGTTTTAGGAACTACTGCTTGAATTTTTTTCATAGGAATTATTCCCTTTGATGAAATCTTTCTACTTTCCATTTAACCTCTACTCGAATAGGTCTCACCTCCCCTTCAGTAAATGGCGTCTGAACATTTATGCTTTTAAATATATCATAACCCGAGCTGCGCTCGCAAAAATCGTGCCAAGGAATTCCCTTTTCTTTCCACACAATTATTTTGAAAGAAATTATTAGCACAAAGACGATCTTGTTTCGAAGCGAGGTTTTCGAACGATAGACATCTAATCTCCGAGTATCTCAAACTCTACAAGATATATGTCACATGCACTTCAAGGGCAGACGATAACTGGAAATTCCTGGAAGTGAATGAAACCCATGAGGCAAAATGTAGATGAAGACTCCATCTGTCACCTTGCACATCTGCGGTCGAGAGGACCAGAGAATTAAAATATTTTCGTCTATCGACGAGCACCTCAGGAGTTTCCGTCTTCTCTGGATTTCAGGTGGAACACAAAATCACGGAGGAACAAGGTCTTCCTTCTAGAGGCTGAAGAATGTGATATCGTGATCGCTGCGGAACAAGAGCAGATATTTGATCCCACCGCACGGAGGAAGCCGAAGACGTCGAGAAAATGTGAAGACAGTAAGTATTGTGAAATACGAAATGGACGAGTTCGGGGTAAAATAAGAAGTAGATCTGAGGGAAAGCAACAATCCCGCATGGATTCTGCTGAAGAACGGAGCCGTCCCAGAACACAAGCAAACCTGGTGATGTCGGCTTCCAACGGAAAGCCGTAATCTCCCACGAGCAATCTAACACTGGAAATGCCTGTTTTTTTGCCGGAACCGAGGGGCGCCCTGGTCCAGATCGACGACTTGGAACGACACTCGTGGACGAGTGGAACAGTCTTCTCACTCGTCTGGGAAGAATTCCGGAGCCTCAAAGCCATCGACAACCTGTTCAACATCGTGTTCATCGAGGAGAGGAGACATCTGCGCCTCTCGGATGCTGGCGAGGCAGTGACCACAATTCGTCCGAGTCTGGTTGCGTTACGTGTGTGTCCTGCAATCGGAAGCCATTCTGAAAATGTTACTTCAGAGACTTCGAAATTTCCATCGGACGTAAGCGAGTCCATCGAGCGCAATATTGGTTCTCTAAATGATATCCAGCAGGGCAATCGAATTCGGCGGTTGTCATTTTAATTTCGGTAGGAAATATCCTTGCCACCGATTTTGTCTCAATTTCGGCTAAAATACTTTATTTCCTGGAAGCAGACTCAACGAGTGCTTACATGAAACCATGTTGCCCAGCGCTTGAGATTTCCCTCCCAATCGAAGCGAACGTAGCCAAAAGTCGCCGGGTTCGACACCCTGTTGGGAATAAACTGCTTTTGACGACTCGTGCGCAGACGCAGCAGGACGCTGGCAAGGTCAGCACGTTCAGGCGGGCTGCTCCCTTTGCCTCATTTGAGGATTTTGTGTTTTTATGTCTGAGTTTCATATGGGAATGTTTGAAGGCCGGATATGGGAATGTTTGAAGGTCGGATATGAAAACTGAAGTTGCTGCAACAAAAAGGTCCGAAAGGAAAACAGGTCACAATAAACTTCCCCTTTTCTAGGGGGACCAGCTTTCCTTACATAAATACCGGAAATTCCGTACATTTACGTGAATGAAGCCCAGCGCATGTGATGTGGTGTTCTATTCGAAACTTTGGATGAGGAACTTGGAGATGATCAAACCGAGCAGACGACCAAAGAATGATGGAATTCGGCAAGGAAAATCAACGAGAACGGGTTCGATTGATTGCCAAAGATGTCATTCGAACAATACTCTAGGATAAGCAAAAAAATGTATTGGTTAATTTCCTGTCGAAAGGAAACGGAAAATAAATTGAGCTGACGATGTACCGATCACACGTGTTTTCAGTACAATTTTAACGAGAAGTTTGTGGTACTTATCGGCGAGTACTGGCAAGCCCCAAAAAAGGAAAGTGAACCATGGTGCTAAATTTTTTCAGGTTGTAGCTGAACAATTATGCCACAGATTGGTTCGAAGCAGAGGAACTGGCCAATGGGACATAATTTCAAGGGCTATGCATGGATAGTAACGCAAGACCAAGCCATTAATCCCTGCAATCCGAGCCAAAATCGAGCAAAAGTCCACCAGTTTGCCTTTTGGATAATCATAAATGCACTGACCTGTCGTTTGAAGGCGATAATTCAGAACTCCTGGGTCATTGGACGTCGCTTTTATGTCCACATCCAGAATTCCCGGCCCCTACAGAACAGTTCAGAATTGATCTTAGTCTGATCGAATCCATTTTTTTTTAAGCAATTCGCATTTCGGTAAACTCGCCTGGTCGGGTGACAGTTGGACCGTATAGAATGATTCCTGGAAAATGAACGGCTCGTCTTTCGCATTCAGCACGGTCACTGTCACCTGCGCTGTCGCGCTTTCAAGGAGTCCCTGTATAAACACAAAAATTCCCGTAAGAGTAGTTTCTAATAAAGTGGACACATTTGTGATAGCCGACCACTGACTGAGATGCAAGTTTTCTACGTTGAATGTGGAAATGAAAAAGTGAAATGCGTCAAGGAAATTCAAATTCATCGCTGTGTTGAACGTTCGACTTCAAGGAAAAGAGCGTTCCCTTACAAACCGCTAACCTGCGAGGTGGACGTGGATCTCCTCTCAGCCGTATGTCGCGGACACGAGAAAGTCAAGAGCGGGATGGAAATTCAAAACACATGAAAACCACAGGGAAGTAACGGCAAAGGAACAGCTGGCAGTGAATAAGGAACGTGCTTTCGATCGCGATCAAGCGACCAAGTTAGGCAATGGAATTTGATGAGATCATCTGCCCTTTGTTTCAGCGCTGGAACATCAAGGCACTACCGTTCATTATTCCATACTCTAAAACAGAAACATATGCTATTTTTCTCCCTAAGTCGAATGCAAAATACAAAAAAAATTTATTGAGCAATCATTTCTGATCACTGGAAGTGTTCGATTCCATTCGATTCGATTTGCGCAGGTTATTGTATCAGGCCTTAGTCCAAATTAATCTTCAATCACACCACGTGTGAACCCCTTCAATTAAAAATAATTGCTTCCATATCAACGAACCAACAAGCGCAATTTCGCGAAGATTCCAAGCGTCAGCTCCAGGAAAGCCTTCGCAGAGGTGAGAAACTCAAAATCCACGCGGAACCGGAATTGCTCTGCTTGTAATGGAAATAATATATAATGGAAATAATAATAATAGTAATGGAATAGAATGGTGTTTCCCTCTTGTTCGAACGAAGTGAAGCTCTCAGTGATTATCTCCATGAAAAGGTAATGCCATGTTTGATCTCAAAACATGGCATTGCATTTCGCTTGCAGTAAACTCCACAAATCACCAAATGGTAGGTCTGTTTCCAATTGACTGCAAAGAATGCGTCATTTGCCACGCTGCCCCTAGAGAGGCAATTTAAAATAAATTAGAGTTTGTGCATGTATTCATTGGCCCTCATGTCTCAATCCCTAATGTGTGTGTGCTCTGGTCGTTGCGCATGGAAGAGCCCCTCATTACGCGATCGTTTTTTGCCGTTGCAACTTTAATCGCCCCTTTTCACTGAGATCAGGGACGTATGAAGCGCTGAATGCATCACGAATGATGCCGACAAAGACTGCGCAGATGAGTGACTCACAGTGACCTTCATCACTGTGACCTTCATCGTAGATTGATGACATGAAATCGCATCGATTTCATCATAACCCAGCCAATGGGCATTCAAAGAGTTCCCATCCATAACATTCTCGAGAAATTCATGCAAAAGATGTCATTCGTGGCTTCCAGGTCTTCCTGCATCAAATTCATCACCGTCTGAATTTCTCACATATATTGGGAGACTCTCGGCAACCATCGACTTCAGCTGCGCACCGAAGAATTGTGAATTTGAGAAAACCATGTAGTAGGTCGACAAAAGCTGCTCTATTCGAAGTCTTGCAGTTGAATTTTCCACTCGAAAATTAGTAGAGACTTGTCGCTGCAACCAACTTTCATCTTGGAAGCAGTCACAAATTACAGAAATGTGGAGCAGAAGAAATTCTCTCCTCTCGATGAAAACGTCATATTCAGAGAAATAGGAATATTTTTAAATCCTGACGCATTGCAACACTCTCCATACGACTCAGTCTGTATCTAAGAAGATTTGCTTTGCTCATATTAGACATCACCAGCCAAAATGGCCGTTGGAGACTCCGCAATGCGAAAAATAAAAATTGGGAATAAAAATTGGAGTTCCAGCGCCAGTATTTGCCAGATCGATTAACCAAGAGTTCCTAATTGTCACATACCTGGGCGGTGATGGTGAATTCGTATGCTTGTTCTGTCTCATAGTCCAACGGTTCGACCAATGTTATGGTCAGAGTGCATTCTTTCGCACAACTCCGATTCTGGACATCAAAAACGCCTGAGAAGTCGCCGTCGATGGAAATGTCATTCGTATGGAACTGAGCATCATAATCCCCATCCGAGATAGTGATGGGATTGAATACTGTGAAGTCCCAGCCGGTGGGGAACACTTCCGGGACTTCATAAGTGTAAGTTTCGCTGCTGAAGATCGGTGGCATGTCATCGCCGTCCTTGACGTTCACTCGGAGGATTTGTTCTGCACCGTTTGACTAGAATCAGATGGTAGGATTTTATTGCCCCCATATCAACGTTACAGAATCCTTCCAGTGACGTCGACTTACCTCATCTCCAGAGACACAAGTCAATTTTAGGAAGAGCGTCGTTGGCGTAGTTCCCTGAAATTAGTAGAAAGATTCAAGACTCCTGCTTATGACAGATCGAATTGGAACAGAATTAAGGAATTTTCACCATATTTAAAATATTTATCATAACATCCTATGAGAAAGTGAATTGGATAGACTGACTCTTACTTCTTGGTAGGTGTCTGTTAGGTCACCTGCTACAAATACGACCAATTCCTCTCCGTTGATTTCAGTCCCAATGAGATGGGTAAAATTATCTCCTCGAATAACGTTCGCTGTATTGGTGGTACTGAATCGGCCGATCTCAGACCCGACATCCGCCACTTCCGACACGTCCACGCTTGAGGGTATTCCCAACCTGCAGGCTGGAAAAAACGAGTGGTGACATTCAGCTGCTGAGTTCCAGCACTGCAGATTCCTTTGAAAACGGAACTTTAGAGGCTGGGGAAGTAGACCGATCTGCACTCGACATTCATCGCGTGGGAATGAATGCGGTCATGTGATCAGCAGGAAAATGGAAAAATGTATTCATATTAGGAAATGCCGGTGCGTCTTGGGAACTTTCAAGAGCAATCGTGCAAATAAATGCTCCGTAAGCTCGCATTGGTTGCTATTCTAAAACGGAGCATATTCGCAACTATTTCTTGCTCGCCACACATGAACACAATAAAATCTGTAACGTTGTGATTTCGCAGTCCATTCACGTCGCTGTGAACCACACCTCTCCACGTAGAATCTCACAAGAGAGTTTCGTACATCCCGAAATGTCTCGCCTTGCTTCATCGTAGCAATCAATAAACTTCAACACTTCCTTATTTGTCATTGTCATTTCCCAGATAAAATCACGGAGTCCAGACCAGAAATATGCCCATATTCCCTTTGAAAACCACGTAGGAGAAAAAGTAGATTTAATCCGAAATGAGCTTCAGTTAAGAAGGCGTGCTCGCAGGTTCTGTCTGCCGTTTCCTTCGGTCGAGAGAAGAATGATACTTCTCTCTACCGAAGGAAGTTTAGGCGCTATCCCGCGCATTCCAGCGACATATGTGGGCCTGAGCAATAAATTATGCAGACCTAGGCATTACTCGCATTAGTAATGCATGTTCCCCTACCATGTGAGAACCCCTAATCGGTAAGTGATTTACACCAAATTGCTGCGCCAATATTGACCCGGTGGCCATTCCAGTTGTAATGCCTGCGTTTCGAAACCCAAAAAATCCTCCTCGAATCCTATCGGTATGGAGTCCTATACCACCCTGTATGATCCTATAGGTTTTTCGTGTTTCAAGAACGTATATGAAAGTCTAAAGGTTTCCTATAAGAAATAACAATACGTTTCCTTTAGGACATTTCCGTAAGGAAGTCTTCTCTATTGATGCTGACTGTGCACTGACATAAATCCTGAAGTTCTGCTTCCCCTCACCGCGAAGGCTTAAACAACCATATTGTCCCAGTGCCATCAAGTCGAAGAGCCTGGCTAAATTCGTAAATGCAGGGTGTCTCTGCTCATCGCGCAGGGATGAGATTGAGCTCAGTTGAAAGGGCATAACAAATGAAGAGAGCGATCTCATTTCCATGAAGTTATATTCGCCTGTTGTGATTTTACACCTAATAAACTGATCGCTTTCACTTGTTCGACATCCGTCGATGGATTGCTCTTTTTAGTTCTGCCATTTAGTGATCGATGAGACGTTCTCAACGCTATGCTCAGCCGCTGTCGAACTGAAAACAACGGTATCCTGGAAGGTATTGATATCAACTACAAATTAACATTTCATGAGCAAAAATGGAATCTCCCAATCCAAGTTTCATGTTCTTTCGAAGGAACATGAGCACATTCCTGTATGATGACAGGAAGTCGCTGAAACAGCTTCGTGCGTAATTTTCAGACGCCCTTTACTACTCTTAATAACAACAAATTTTAGACTAAGATAACACTAGATAGAAACTTACAGCCTAGAGTGCCATGCAAACTCCGCTTTGACCATACTATGAAAATATTAATGTGAATAACCCATCTTGGACCAAGTTCATCATGATATCACGACAAGCAGCAGATCGCTATGCTCCTGATTTCCGTCCGACAAGCGTTCGTGAGAGGCGTCGTCATTCGCAATCGTCACCAATTGTCATAATTTTTTTTTTAAATTGAGATTGGTCGGAGGAGTTGTCCCTAGTGAAGATGGTAAGACAAAGGCTTCTTGAACTCAAATTGATGAAAGTCCTTCAGCAGCGTGGGCACTTAAGCACTTAGGTCTCGTTGTCGAATTTCTGTCTTGTCGTTTTCCCGCATCAGTTCCGAGATATGGAAATAATATAGGAGCAGTTAAATGTAAACGCAAGATGCACTAGTGTGAGAAGCTTTCGCAAGAGAAGAATCGTGCAATGGATTAGAGGCCAGGTGTGAAGGGGTCCAAAGCGATTCTATACACGTGTACATGAGGCAACGAGAATCATCATGAAAGAACAGCAAAGAAATCTCGGAAATATTCATTCGCCCATATTGTCCTGATGGTCAAAAATTTAATGACTGTGCTGTCGGTGAAAAATTCGAGCAAGCGCGGAGCTTGAGCGTGATCCTGCGTACGAGGAAAGCCCCAGAATGTCTCCGCAGCTGGAAGGCCCAGAACGACCTCGAGAGGGTCAGAGAGTCGCATCGACCCAAAACGAACTTACGATCTTGAGCCCGACCGAGGCAGGTCGCCGCGAAGAGAAGAAAGAGTCCCAGGAAACGGGACATGGCGAGGGAAGATCGCATTCGACGCACCAGCACAAGTGGAGTAGCAGTCTGCGTCGCCGTCTGATAACGCGGAATGCCTTATTCGTCATCTGGAGACTCTTGAGAAAAGATTAGATAAAAGCTAAATAAGTGCCGTGCCTTCATGATTCTCTTCGCTTCTTTCTTTATGCATTTTTTATTTATTTTTTTAACACTTATCGTTGATTTGTCGCTGACAGCAACGAGGGCGCGAACATCCGTGATCTCAGCGTGTTTCTTTGCATTTGCTATATCTATATACGAAGTTAACGCAAATCTCCCTGGAGAGCTGCCACAGGGATGCAAGGTATCTGGAAGCAAGCGCAACTGGAAAAAAAAAGTTTCCCGATAAAGCGCCGTCTGAATTTTCCATTATGATCGAAACAGGTGATTCCTGACGACCTGCCACGTCCTCGATCGATCCCATGTCGTCACGGAACCAAGTGCGTTCACCTTCAACTGAATCTTTTTTTTTTTAACGAGTTCCAGCAGTAAAAAAACGAGTTTTAGCCGTCGAAACGTGGAAACCCTCCTGAGGATATATGCAGGGCAACTGGGTTTCGTGAAATTCTTAAGCGCCATCACCATGCAGTTGTGTCCGCTGCAGGTCATTCCGAGCCATGCGGGTTGAAAAGGCCTTGTTTCGTGGGGGAAATTGCAAGATCCGGGTGAGAAGTAGATAAGGAAGATATGTTCCGGGGTACGACAAATCTCTTTAGAGCCATTTCCCCAAAATGAGAGTTGTGCATGTATTCATATGGTTCCAACATACTTCTGAGATACCCCCCCCCCCAAATTAATATTATAATATAAAAAATCGAGAATACTGTAGAAAATGGACACGAGTTTCCAATCCCTTCCGAGCCTCGTCCCCCCGATGAAGAGTTATGGAAATCTGAACAAACTTCAGCAAACCTCTGCTGCTCCTCGATTCAACTCCCACTTAATTGGAAGAAAGCTCCTTCCATCCCCCAGCAAGGTCAGGCACGCTTAAAAAGGAACCAATGAGAACTCAGATGGCATGCAGGCGAAGCGCTCCTCCGCAACCGGCACGAGCTCGTGCCCGTTTGCATAATGTACCTTCTTTTAACCCTCATCTAGTTCGTCCCTCCCTTTTCGAATTAAACAATTTAGATCGATGTGAGGTATAAATTAATAAAAATGTTTTATTATCCGGCTTAGAAATATTGTTTAAAATGCAAACTGTGGAGAAACGATTTTCTCTGTGGCTTTTGACAAATAAAAATGGCAGGAATGTGCGCTTCTCGTCAATCGATGGGTTCTATATAGGGAGTGTCGGGTCTTTTGTGTATGGACGTAAGGGGATATCTGTCCTTGAACATGACGTCGAATTTAAAAATGATACGGGACCAGGTCGAGCTGCATGAATGGGAAATATGAAAGAAGTCGCGCAAACGCAGCCAATAGAGGCCTTCCCGGGCCTCCCGCCAAGCCAAGCCGCGTTCTCGGCTACCAAAGGAGATCAAGAAATGCATTGAAGAAACTCGATGCTAGGCTGATGCCGGTCTCGAATATCAACAGAGGCCTCCATTGTTTTTACGAACAACTCGGGATTTTTTAAAGCATTTTCAAGAAGCAATTTTACTGGGATACAACAACTGGGGAACGTTGGTACGGCTTAAAACATTTCCTCCGCGTTTAACCTGTCGTCTTTCCTTGATTTCAGGACGCACAGGCAAAAAAGTGCAGTTCCCTCAGCAGATGCATCAAATGAACCCTCTTGGTTTGATCAGAGTACTGCACGACTTCGAGCCTCCTAAGAGCCCTCCAAGTATGGCATGATGATTCCTGAGCTTAAGTTCTTTCACACTGTGGAAAATGAATCGGTTCTGTCTCATGAAAAGCTCCAGTTTCCAATCAATCCCATTGACCAAAGTCATCTGAGCATACCAAAGTCATCTTACAAATCAACAGTTGACATAAATATAATCCATAATATGGGAATACGTTTTGGACATCTCGAAAGCCAAAACCATTAGAATTCTACAGAAAATACATGTACCTGAGTGGAATATACTACGACTTCCTAAATGGTGAAATTATTGCTAAACTTCTTTGAAAGAAATGTTTCTCTCAACACAGGCAATATCCGGCGAAATTTCCCCCTTGAACCTGCTCTTTCTTCTCCTACTGAACCACCGTGCTCGGAGTTTAACGGGCAAGAGCTGCCTCTGTTTGAAACAAAGTCGGGCGGGTGGTGGGCCTCGTCCTGCCAACAAGTGGAAATCCCGCTCGAGAGTCGGAAATTCTATTCCGACTTTGCAATTGTTGTAACTGATTAATTCGATGCCGTTGTGAGTTATGAGGGAGTCTCACGATGGATAAAAATAGGATTGTTGGTGGGAAGAAGCAATGATTTTATGACATGGAAAGACGTATCTTTATGACATCCCCTGGTAACGAGTCATGACAATATGGCAGCCTTTCCTTCAAGGTATCTGAGTGGCCTTTGCAGATATAAGTGCTCTTTGGAGTCATTTTTATTTCTTCCTTTTTTACTGCAGGCCTGAATGGGAAAATGCAATTCAGATGAACATAATCGAGTGCATGGGGGACCAAGGACTGTCCAACTGATGACCACCAAAGGAAGAGAGGCCTTTCCACCAGAGGTGCCAGCGTAAAAGCAATCCAAGACTTAATCAGTCACGAAATTAGAGTTTATATGATACGATTACAATTAATATTTATGTAATAACTTTAAAGTTTTAATTCAATTTTAACTTACATGTAGATTTGTAATCAAGAACGTATTTTTTTGCTCAAAGACCTCTCTTACAATTTATGTGGATCAGAGAGAGCAGAATGCCCGTTCGTTTGGTCGCATGCATCGCAACCAGATCAGATCATCTCCCTTTGATCCGGCTTTCTTCTTGCAAGCCGCAAGACCATCCCACATGGGAGGTGCACGAAGCGGAACATTTAATTCTCGTTTTGCGCCACCAGAGACTTCTCTCCTCTACGACCCCGAATCCCTGACTGTCAGTGACGCAACTCACGATCACGGCGGTAGCTGGAAAACATACCTCCTCCGCAAGGAGCCCTAAGCACCGAGAGTCCTTCCACCTCCCGCGACTCCCGCCCGAAAGACGACTGAGGCCGCCGCATGGCTGCAGCCCTTTATATATGGCCCAGCCTCCTGAGCGCCATGCTTCCAATTAGCCGCCGATTTGAAGCGTTCCGCTTCTTCGCTTTGCTGATATCGACAACTGCTTCTCAAGTTAAATAAGCTTTTCACTAACACGAAAAACCTAACCTAATCTAACCTATAGGATTCAGGGAGGATTTTTGGGGTTTCGAAACCTAGGCATTACGAAAGAAAAGGAAACCGGGGTCAATATTGCCGCAACATTTTGGTATAAATCATTTACCGATTAGGGGCTTTCCCATGGCAGGGGCACTAGCATAGCTAATACTAGTACTGCCTCGGTCTGCATAATTTATTGCCCAGGCCCACATACGTCGATGGATTGCGCACAATAGCCCATCCAGTTCCTTCCGTAGAGAGATGTATCATTCTTTTGTGGCCGTGGTAAGTGGTTTTTAAAGGGAATATGGGCATATTTCTGGCCAAGACTCCATGATTTTATTTGGAAGATGGGGATGACAAATAACGAAGTGTCGAAGTTTAATGATTGCTACAATGAGGCAAGGCGAGACATTTGGGGATCTACAAAACTCTCTTGTGAGAGATCATTCCATGGGTAAGGGGAGGGCATT